AAAAAAAGAAAAAGAAGATTGAAGACAGTAGTTTTTGTTCTGCAATTTTCGGCAACAGCGCTTCTATGAACGCCATTTTATCACTGGATACCATGCGTTAGGTTTACAGGACTTAATATTTCCAAAGAAATAAAAAAGGAAATGTATATAAATCATTACAAGTTGAATAATTCCTGCCGAATCAATTATCCATTTTGACTTGAGGATAATACGTCGTGATTCAGCTGGTTTTGCATGAGGACCGCAGAGACGAAAATGAGCCATCATTATTGGTCCCATGTGACATTTGATCCATAACTTTGGATCGCAAAAAAACATGTTAAGAAAATTTGGTCGACATGATATTAAACGTGCAATATCATCTGCATAAACTAAGTGATCAGTTAAGGTAACAATTCGATTTGTCCGATACGATGTTAACTGGTTTTCAATGTATTCAACATATATTTTACTATGCTCAAGCATTGTTGCACGCGATGGCAATTTAACATTACCTGAACATAACTGAGCAAACCAACGTGCCTGCATTTCAGCTAATGGTGGTATAGCATCAAAACAAGGTCGAACAAATCCAATAAAAAATAATTGATCACCAGTGAGGACATGCACACAATGTTTATAAAGATCATGAGAAATTCTTGCTTCTTTGGCGACCTGTTTGATTATTTCATCATTATCGTTATCTTCTGTTTCAAGGAATCGAAAATGATTTTCAAAGCCGGTACAACAAACAATTTCATCGATGTCTTCTTCTTCGGTCCCATCATCAAATACAATAGTTGCAGGTGCTTTAAGCTCACGAATTCCAGGTTTTCTTTGACAGTTATATTGTACAATTGCCTCAGTGAAGCCACTATTTTTTGTGCCATATGTACTTCGATAATTACTCGTACCAAGTTGTGCTAAATTCATCAATAAAATTTGACGATCTATTTCTATTTCTACTGGTGGCCGTTTGTCAAATCCAAGTAATCGTGCGATAAAATCCAGGATGAGCTGGTAATAAGTCAAGAAGTACGATTGGTATAGACCAAATGCATGGGGATTCGAATGAAGCGCACGGTTTGTTGACAAATCAGCTGGTAGTCCACGAAAATACCTTTGTACAATAGCGCCATGATCTTTACGGATTGATATAAATGACTTTTTACCATGCTTAGCTGATTCTAATGCCATATCACCAGCCGCTTCACCACCTCCGACAACACATACTCGTTTTCCGGTGAAATCCTCAAACCATTTAATATCCTGTAAATGTTTAATTTTACCCTGAAATTGTTCATGATTAACAAAATGAGGCATTGAGCGGTGTTGATGTGTACCGGAAGAAATAGCAATACGATCAAATTGAAATATCTCTGGTTGGTCCACTCCATGTTTCAAAACGCGCACATTCCATTTGTCTGTTGCTGTATCTCGCCACACTGATTGCACATGAGTTTCAAAGTGAATATGTGCTTTTAGGTTAAAATGATCGGCATAATCATCCAAATACTGCGAGTATTCAATGAAACTCATCATTCGCGGATTTTCTAAAATACTATCGTGTTCTCTTCCAACAAAATCACTAAACATTGTGACGAGATTCGATGATACCATAACACCTTGTTGGTAAACGGTTGTAAATATACCACCGATATGTGAAGTTTTCTCAAAAACAGTTACTTGATGGCCTTCATCTAGTAATTCTTTTAATGTTACTAAACCACTGGGACCACATCCAATAATACCAACAGACAATTTCATCTTGGATGCTATATTGTTTGCCCTTTGTTGAAACTGGAGACGATGTCACTCTATAAAAAGAAAAACAGCAAGATCGAGATATGTCGGTACTATCACAACTTGTGCCAATAGATACAAAGCAATATGTCAAATAAAATTCTATACAAGTATATACAACAAAAAACTGCGTAGCAATACTTGAGATGGCTTTCTCCGTAAATACTAAACATTGATACGCTTGAGTAGTCTGCTCTATATTACTTTCTATGGTTTTATATGGTTCAAATAAGCATTTTTTCGAAACACGTGTATTTTTTACGATTTCAAAGTTTTTTAGTATTTCACTGTTTTTGACATGAAAAATCAACTTTTTCTCAATAAATTATACATATTCGGAATCAACGCGTTGAGCTCTATCAGAATCTGTAAAAAAACCTATAGGTAAAGAATCTACTTGAATTTTGAATTTCCTTAACCTTAGTACGACGGAAAAATATTCCGTCCTAATGAATTTTCTTGCCTTGAGATATTGAGACTAGAACATTTGACCCTTATCCTCACTCAGGTGAAATGTTCGGGTCTTTTAGTTGTCAATTATGTATCTTCTATTCGATTTCAGGACCACCTGAAGTAACCAGATACCAGTCCTGAGGCTCCAAGGAAATCGGATACCACGCTCAAACGACTGGGTCAAACCAAGGTCTCGCTTGACTCTCATTTTGAAGAGGATACTTTGGGTTATTTGCCCATGAAGAAAAACAAAAGTGTTCATAGTTGAAGTTTTTGAGCTATGAGTTGATTTTCCAAAGATGGATAAGTCTGTCTCGAGCTGAAGACAGAGGAGCACTATTACGACAGTTGATAGATTTTGTTCGAAATCCAAGCTCTATAGGCAAAAACTGAGTAAAACTTCAATATCTCAGCAACAAAGCACCATGGGGAGGAACCAACTTAGCGTATTTCGCTACTCACGGAGGTCTACAAGATACAAGTAGTCCGAGTTCAAAAGCGATTTATAACCTCAAGAGGTTCCCTCGTTAGTCTCTCATTTATTAAAATTCGTTTTTGTATTATTTCAAAACATACTGCCGATATGACCAAGTTTCTCTTATTACTGGCCATTTTTTTTTCAAGTTTTCATCTAAGTATTAGTGCTGCTCCTTCTGGAATAGATGTGAGTGATTTAGTTACAAGCACATCCAGAGCAAGTAGGTTTAAAATAGTTTTAACTCCCTAGTACAACATCGCAAATTTCTTCTTTCTATTAAAAGTGACAACTGTTTCTCTTCCGCCCCAAGGTTGGACTTGGAACAAACACATTAATGATTCAACACGTCTTTCAACATCTGCTTGGGGTTGGGAATGTGATAATACCACATTCAATCAAAAGAGTTCAGGATATCCAACATATTTTCGTTTTGTGAGTCCTGGTGGAACACAACTGGCTACGTTACCACCGAATCAAGCTCAAGGAGGTCGTTGTGGCACAATGGTTTCAGGATGGACAAATGCAACCTATCCAACAAGAGTTGGTGAAATAATCAATGCTCGTATGTGCTTTGCTTATGCTGGTGTTCCCTGTTTTCATTGGATAGATGATATTTCAATTGCAAATTGTGGAGGCTATTATATCCACGGTTTGTATGCCACATCAGCTTGTTTCCTTCGTTACTGTACACAGTAATGGCGACCGAGAGGTTCAATGTGGTACAAAGGGAACTTCGGTCGATTACCACTTTTATGTCATTGTGTTCATAATTGAAACTTTCCCCAAAGTTAAACGAAAGCTTCGCGATAAATAACTACTATCCATACCAAAATACAGTGCCGGGTGCCACTTTTTGAATAACTTTTGATAGAAATGAGATAGAGACCTGTGATTTTCGCTGTTCAATAGCCAAGATTTGAGCAGAACTTTTCACAAGCGGAAGCAACTTTTGAAAAACTTCCAGAGATCGGGTTTTCAGAGAATCTTTTGAAAACCAGCTCCGTTCTCAGAAATGTTAGTTTTCTGAGAACGGAGCTGGTTTTCCAAAGATCCTCTGGAAACCCGATCTCTGG